GGGGGAGCAGGTGTTCCAGGCGAAGGGAACAGCACGTGCAAAGGCCCGAGGTGAGAGAAGCATGGTTTGATAGGGGACCGAGTGAAGGTGTTGGTTCGGGCTTCCTGGCTGGTGTTTGCAGGTGTGCACACATCTTTTGTGAGTGCCGTCACTTTACTACAAGGGCTTAGTGAGTGTCTGGTGTGGGTTCTGCACCATGTCGAGTCTTGGGGGGGTGGGGAGGGACTGGTGCAAAGCATGGCAGGAGTCCTGAGAATGGAGGTGGGTGGGAACGGAGCTCTGGGCTGCAGGGAAAGCCTGGGAGAAATGGAAGTACTTCCCAGACAATGGGAACAGCCGAGTTCTGGCCTGAACCCTGGCGTCCTGGGTCTGGAAAGGATGAGGTGGGAGAACTGGAGTCTGGTGCTTAGTAGGTCCTCACCAAATGTCAGACCCCGAAACTCAGGCGAAGGGTGTACCGAGTCTGGGGTAGCCAGTGGCCAGCAGCCCGGACGTCCCATGTGCCAGGGGAGACGGTGGTGCCAGGGGTTGGCACGGGGGCCTGGAGAAGCCCTGGGCTGGGCTTGGGTCTCAGAATGAAGGGAGCACAGCAGCGTGGGCTCTGTGGCCTCGCATCTGAGGCAGAGTCTGGAGCGCACGTGGTGTTCTCGGAGGAGGTGGGCATCGGATGGAGACCCTGCCAGGCTGGGGGTGACCTGAGCAGCTGAGAGGAGGAGGAGGCTCAGGCCGAGGGCAGGGTCACAGGCCTGGCCCTGGCCCTGGCCTGGAGCCCAGGCACAGGACACCTAAGTCCCTGTTTTGTCTCAGGACATCTTAGGCCTCAGTTTCCCCATCTTGACACGGGGCTTGGGTACCTACCTCTCAGGCATTGCCAAAGAGCGGGAGGAGGAGTGGGAGGGCCTAGTGCTCAGCCCATCAGAACCAGCACTGCTGGCCGCACCCTGAGGGGCAGGCCTCCTGCCGCTGTCACCCCTACCCCCAGGTGGGACTTGGGGTGATGGGGACCGGCCACCCTGCCTGCCCTACTGAAGCCCCCCTTCGCAGGGGTGGCCTGAGCAGCGTTACCAGACCCAAGTCCGCATTGCAGCCCCTGAGGCTTCAGAAAGCCCCGCGGCCGCCTGGCTGCCCTGCAGGCTCTGAGCCCCTTTGCTGCCCGGACAGCCCTTTTCCCTGGTGCCCCTGCCTCAGACCCCAGCTCGGTTCCCTGCTGAGCAGCTCAGGAAAGTCCTTCTCTCTCTGAGCCTCACCGGGTCTTCCTGAGCAACACCCGAGGTAGGGAGTCCCAGGCACACAGTAGGTGCTCCATAGCCGTCCCGCTGGCTGTAAGAGAAGCAGTGACTGCAGTTCTTTTTTTCCTTTTTTTAAAATATATTTTTATTGATTTCAGAGAGGAAGGGAGAGGGAGGGATAGAAACATCAATGATGATAGAGAATCATTGATGGGCTGCCTCCTGCACGCCCCCTACTGGGGATTGAGCCACAACCCAGGCATGTGCCCTTGACCGGAATCGAACCTGGGACCCTTGAGTCCACAGGCCGACGCTCTATCCACTGAGCCAAACCAGCTAGGGCAGACTGTAGTTCTTCCCTGTGGTGGTGGGTACTCACCCCTTTTAAGCCATTCACTCTGGGGCCAATTATAAATAGACACATATCGCCTCTATCCATAGAGATAAAACATTTTCCCCGAGATGAGGCGCCCGCCCCTCCCCCCACGCTAGCACGAGATCTCTGGAGGGATTGGTGCTCTCCTCCCTCCTCCATCCATCCCTCCCTCCTCCCTGCCGCTCCTCCATCTCCACCCTGCAGAGGTGAGATCCAGCCAGGGACGTGATGTCAGAGGCTCAGCTGATGTCACCGCCACGGCCGTGACTTCACTTGCCGGCTTGGGCAGGAGCCGCGAGGAGGCTGCGAGCTGGGAAACTACCCCCCTTCCCTTTTCCTCCTCCGCTTCCCTTTCCCTCCTCCCGGTCCTCGCTCTGGAGTTGCTTTCCTCCCCCTGGTGGGCCGCGGCCTGCGGTGGTCTGTCCAGGGGTCTGGGGCAAGTGCCAGGAAGGATGCTGCTGCAAAGGTAACCGGCTGGCGTGCGCGGCGCCTCTCCCTCCGGTCGTGAAAGTTTGCTCTGGTGTGCGAGGCGTGCCCACTGGGCACCCCG